GAAAAAGAAAGTTTTCTGTATCAAGTACGAACTGTCTTAAGGATTTTCAAATATTCAATCAAAAAGAAGTAATTTTAGCCAATGATAGCTGAGTAGGAATGTTGATAGCGAATAATAATTTCTTAGTGACATCTTTGCATGGAGAAAAGTTAGCTACGATAAAAATCCGGCTGTGGCACTTAAATCTCGTTCTAGCATATACATATCTAAAAGTATAGCTATTAGCATAGGTTCAGCTATGTAATCAATGTAGTAGAAATAATAGCAAAAGTTTTAATTACATCAACAAATATATTTTCCGCCAATTATGATTAGCTGAGCTGGTAACATTTTTTTTCTGTATGCGCGGTTCTTATCCGCCCAATTCCTATTTTGCACATCATTATAATGTTATAAAGGATCAGTGACACAAGAATATCACTTTCATATCAGGGATGCATCTTCATTAAATGGGGATTGCAGTCAAAGTATTAATACAGACTGTTTTAATAACAGACACATTAATCCGACGAATAATAAGCTGGTTGCTTTTCTGACGTTTGGCGAGGGCTGGCACAATTATCATCATGTGTTCCCGTGGGATTATAAAGCGGACGAATTGGGCAATTACATGCTAAACATCACGACGATGTTTATCGACTTCTTCGCGAAAATCGGCTGGGCATATGACTTGAAGCAACCATCACAACAACTCGTGACGTCCGCCGTGATGAAGAGAGGTGATGGCAGCCATCACATGTGGGATCCCATGGCGCATCCCGACAGCAAGATCGAAGAGTGAAAGAACGATTCAGTCTTGGGTGCATGATGCAGGTGTTTTTATCGTTGAAAAAGTTCGATAAGTTGAGAGTGTAATAGTTATCTCGATTGTACAATAAACTTTATTAGTTAATCGCAATAATTGTAGTAAAGAACTATTTGTAATAAAGTATAAAAAATATATTATATAATGAAGAACGTTTAGAGAAAATTACTCATAAGGTTACTTTTTACTTACGATTCAGTTATTTTCTCGTCATTTTGACGTCATTGTCATTTTTTATTCTGCTTGAGTAAACTGGATTTTCGGTATTGGCAGTGAATATTGAAACATAGGGAGAGTTTTTTAATTCATCGGTAGATCCCATCCCATGATACGCAAATACAGCGTTTCACTGCATTTACGCATCATGCGATGGATCCATCGATGAATTAAAAAACTCGTCCATAGCTGTAATGTGTATTAAGTGCGAATTTAATGTGCGACAAATATGTACAGGGTGCGGCGCCAAAATCCGGACAAATTATACATTTTTTCCAAACGTATTTTTTATTGCAAAAACGAAGAGGTTTACAAAATTATTTTAACCACATTGTTTGTAAGGCCATAAAGAACACATTTACTCAATATATCCCCGCTTGCTTGAATGACTGCCTCCATTCTTGGTCTGAAGCGTGCGTAGGCGCGCTTTAATGTGTCACGGTCCATATCGGTGAATGCCGCTTCAATAGCGGCTCTCAATGATGCGACGTTTGGATGTCTGGACTTGTTCGTGACCCTTTCAACTACGCTCCATACATAAAAGTCCAAAGGATTCAAACCTGGGCTGTTGGGAGGCCAGAATTCTTTTGACCAAAACATGTCGACAACCGATTGTCCGACAACCAATTTTGTACCAAATGACTTGTGTGGGCGGGCGCACCGTCCTGCTGGAAAACATACGGCTTTCCAGACACAGTTTCTATCCACGGCTTCACTACATTTGTCAGAACACGCAAATAAATTTCTTTTGTGACATTTCCCCCTTTGTTAAAGAAATGCGGTGGCATGACATCACCCTCACTGGATGATGTTGCAAAACCTTCGTTGGATTTCTCCGACTTATTGTACTTTGCGATGACATCATACACAGTCGATCTCGGGTACCTGAAGAACCGAATGATTTCTGTCGCCGAGCGCCCAGCGCGAACACTTTCGATAATCGTGGCTCTTCGGTTATACTCCGCACTTGGTTTTAACATTGCGACTGTTTCGAGGTTATGATGGTTTAGTACATAGCGTCAAGCTATTTGAATGCTAATCGCGACATCTACCAGTGGTATAGAACAGCGAGAATTTCAAATTGAATTTTGTCCGGATTTCGGCGCCGCACCCTATATGTACATTGATAAGTGTATGTACATTAATAAATCGTTTTTAATATAGATTAAAATTATTTAAAGTGCATTATACACACATTGACGCATTCCTTGAAATGTCTTAAAATAATTTCTTTAAGATGTCCTAGATAAGGACATAAAACGTTAGTTGTATAACTTTTTAAGACATCTTTTAGACGTCTTTAAGATGTCATAATGTTGTCCTGTTTCCTACACAACATGCATGTTTAAAAGACATCTTAAGAAACATCTTATATAAGACATCTTTATGATATTATCAAAAGTCGTCTAAAAGACATCTTATTTCAAATGTCTTTAAAACGTTATCCAAAAGACGTTTTAAAGATGTCTTAAAGACATTTTATTTCAGACGTCATCTTTATGACGTCTATTAAATGACATTTTAAGGTTGGTATTCATAGTCAGGTCTTACATTAAAAATCTCTTAAGTTCTTTTTCATATATTCGGTAGTTAATGAAATAATCCGTACCGCATCTGAAAATTATTTTAAGACGGTCTTAAATATAAGACTTGACTATAAATACCGACCATAGTCTTTGCGAGCGTCGTACGTGAAGCATGTCGTAAATTTGTAAAAGTTATTAAACTATAAATTTTTTAATTTAACTAATTTATTTTTAAGGGGTTTCCCTGGCGTGTCGGGTCAAAAATTTCGAATTTTTATATTGCATTTTCTTAAAGTTTAATTTTTTAAAAAGAATATCCTAAAATATTATAACTGGTTTTTAGATACTTATAAAGATATAGATTCTGCAGCCGCGTCGCATACGTCTATTAAGTTAGCACAGCCACTTCAGCACAATCAAATGCGACGTACCTAAAAATTAAGTGCTTTTTTAATGCTAATTAAGTGCTCTATTCTCGATTTTAGTGCTACAGCTTAAGATTAAAGAGAGTACAGCCACAAAGACGAAAACTAGAAAAACAGACGTATATTTTTAGTGCTAATTAAGTATTGTATTCACTGATTTTGATGTTCCCACAAAAGGAAACAAGTGGAAAATGAAAAACAAGGACGTATTTTTTTACTGCGAATTAAGTTAACTACGGATTTAACAGTGTGATACGCACTCGGCCAATGTAGAGGCCTAGATGAAGCGACATTGAAATCGATAAGTGAGATATCGATAGAAGCCGACATCTTGTTTCTCCATGGTTCGTTGGAAGACACATTTGTGTCATAATAGATGTGAAATTAGGTTAGCACAAAATAACATGTAAAGCACTTTGTAAAGCATTACTGTAATATATTATAATTGGTAGAAAAGTTAAAGAACGAGGACAAGCTATTTATTTATTTATATATGTACATATATATATATATATATATATATATATGATTTTGTTTATGTTATTAAAGATTTTTATAAATAAATTAATATTTACATTAATAAGCAAGTGAAAATATATTTGTATTATAAAAGAATAAATAAATATTTATATTACAAAAGAATAAATAAATTAATATTTATATTTATAGATATAATTAATATTTATATAATTAATAGAAATATAATTAATATTTATAGAATAAATAAAATAAATTAATATTAACATTAATAAGCAAGTGAAAATATATTTGTATTACAAAAGAAGCATCGACTCTATTTAATTTTTGCATTTATCTATATTTGCACTAATTACATTCTAAATTTTTTAGAATAAAATTTGGTTCGAAAAGTAGAATGACAGCCAAGTCGCTCGGATTCAAATGATTTTTCACTCCTATAGAATAAATGTTCGACTTCGAATGTTTCAGTGAATACTTACTCTAAAAATTAAAGTGTGAATCTAATGCATTCCACCGTTACAGGATTATATTCACTCTAACTAATTGAGACATTCTTTCATATAGAATAAAAATTCACTTTAACCTTGAGTGGAACATTCACTTTTGTAGTTTCGGGTGACAATATTTTTTGTGATGTCTTGTGAAATGATGATATATATTGCGTTCCATTCTATCTCGATCTGCTAGTGTTGCGCGACTTTTTACGTTCTTGCTTAATCATTACAACTTTTTTGCTCTCGTATAATATAATCTTTATAATTCCAGTTCATTTCGATCCCACTGAAGTCACCGTATCTCAAGTAGAAGTGGATGACGTTGGGACCATTTATGTCAGTCGTTCATGTATTATTCGATCATTTTAGGCACGAACGAGCAGCGTGCACTGTAACGTTTCATTCGCAAAAATTCAGTTTTATCCTCGACGAAGTCGAGTCAAATAATATTGATATATTATAATTCTCTGAGTGACTTTCATTTGCCGCGGCATTACAAAGTAATTTTGGTAAGATATCGCTAGTATGTTTAATTTAATTGCCAGATTCTTCTTTCTTTACTTGCGATGACGTACTCAGGAAGGAAATGTAATTGACATTTACATCCGAGGCTTCCGGATTCGAACGACTTTCCGATAACTAGTAATATTACATTATGTTATAATTTTTTATACGACATATATGCATGCATTCTTATTGTTGAGTTTAAAATAATAATTGATATGAGATTATTATGGATATTGCTGATTGATTACATATTGATTAATGTTTTGCTTTTGATTACTGATAATTGATTTACTAGGTTTTCGTTTCCGAAATACCGTTCAATTTCATAATTCCGTAGTTTGGGAAGTCGTACGATTATTAAAATCGTCAGAGCCGTGTAAAACTCTTTTCATTTTTTATGTCTTGGCTCTTAGGGAAGAGTTGCACGACTTTTGTCTAAATTGAGTGGCGCATGACTACTGTCTCGTACACGATTAATTTGATTTTATATGTAATATTTATATTTATATCAAATTATTAATATATATAATATTAATAATTAATATATATAATATTAATAATTAATATATATAATATTAATCATCAACTTTACGTCTAATTCCTTATACAATATAATCCAGAAGTTAATTAAATCAAAAGATTATAAATTAGACGCAAGTGGATCTCTTTATACAAATATAGAAACTTTCATGCGCTTTCCTGACAGATAATTTTTTTCTCGTAAAAAACTAACAATCTAATATTTAAAGGAACCGCACGCGCGCGCTCACGACAAAATGATCAGCAGCGTCTCGAGTTTTCAATGTTGCACCAACACGGAAGTGTACACGAAAAATATCGCGCACAGGAATTCGATTGACACCGCCAGTGATACCGTCGGCAAAGTGCCCCTAACGAGAAAACCAGGTTTCCTTGAATTTGAAACCGAAGTCATATGGTTTCTCGCCGTACTGATGTTTGTGTTGTATGCCGTCGGTATTTACGGTATACTGACTTTCGACTACTTTGAGAACCTGAAAAGTACATTGTGGAGTAAGTTTTCATTTGAAATTTTTGCACGCGCATCGTTCAAATTGACATGTGAACATGATTGGTCGTTTGTTAGCGACATTCTCGTAAAAAATATAGCGCGATGCATTTTACAGCTTTTCTTTTTTCCAAATTAATCCAAAAAATTACAACTAATTTTAATTTTTGAGTTTTTCTTTTGAGTAATTCTGCTTGTAAAGATGGTGATATTTCATGATTTATTTCCCAAAAGTCTCTCAAAGAACAAAGAAGTAATTTATTTATTCTTTTTTTAATAGAGCAAAACTTATTATATCTTGCAATTGCTGTATATCAAGAATTAAAATTGAGTTCCTTTTTCTAAATATTAAATTTGTCTTTGAATCGTTTATAAAATGTCCTCGATGTAATCTTGCACTGATTTATGTTAGTTAGTTGTGCTAATTAGCTCTTGGTGGCCTTTATTTTCTATTCCCTTTTATTATAGTACTCGGCATGCATGTGCTAGCTGTTTTCGGCGTGTCCGGCGGCGCACATCGACTTTGGAGTCATAAGTCCTACAAAGCTAAGCTACCACTGAGAATTTTGCTGGCATTATTATACACTGCAGCCGGACAGGCAAGTTTATACTGCAATTCTACACAAAATCGTAAAACTCGTAACTTATTCTCGTAAGACTCGTAATAACTTATGAGTAGATTTGCAATTCTATGCGGACTGTATATATATGTCATATGATAACTCATAAATATCTACGATTTTCCTTTTTTTTACTTACTAAGTCGTAAGCTACGAGTTTACGATTTAATGATTTTCTCGTATATTTGCTTAGAATTGCAGCAATAGTCTTAAACTCGATGCAAATTATTGCAATAATGATTCTTTATGACGGGTTATTTGCAATCAAAATGTTTGCCGCGCTTACTCGATAATTTACGAAAAATCAATCTTGTTTTTAAATTTGTAATAAATATTACATTAAATATTGCATCGTGATAATTATTGTACATCAGTATAAATTTAGATTAAGCAGGATCATACCTATAATTAGATGATAATAATAATGTGAAAAACTTACGTTTGTCTATTTGTTTGCCTCTAGAACTCGATATACAAATGGGTGAAGAATCACCGTTTGCATCACAAATATTGCGACACCGACGCCGATCCTCACAACCATAACCGTGGTTTCTTCTTCTCGCATGTCGGGTGGATAATGATGAAGGAGCATCCAAAACTGCTCGAGAAAAGCAAGAAGCTCGATCTCTCGGATATGCTTTCGGATCCTGTCGTAGTATTTAGCGAGAAGTAAGTGTATTTAGATATTGCTCACCTCATGTTGAACATCATATATTCCGCAGCTGATAGATGAGGGACTCTAGTAGCACGGAAACCATATAGTAAAATTAATTATCAACTAAGATGTATCCACAGCAGAAGCACCATAGCAAATTTTTTCATAAATTAAATTACTTAATTAATTGGTGTTATCACTAATCCTATATCTCGTATAATTAAAACTTACACGATAAAACGACTATTAGTCTAGCTAAATTTACGTGGAAACCAGACGAAAACTTGATAAGGACAGAGAGGTTTCTGTAGGAGGCTATTCAGCCAATTGTTTTTAGTTATTCGAATTTTAATGCAGTTGTTTGTTCAGATAAATATTTTTGGTCACGGTGACAGAGATATTATATCCCATCAATGAGTTTTTCGTCTGGTCTTATTCAGTTACACTGATATTTTTTTCCGTGTACCATGGTGTAGCGTGTTAATTTTTAACTATACCACACACATTTCAGATATTTCTTGCTGCTGCAACTCATATTCGGCTTCATCCTGCCTACGATCGTACCCGTGTACTTCTGGAATGAAACGTGGAACAGGGCTATCATCTCTCAGGTGTTTATACGGTACATGATTACTCTAAACAGCGTAGCGATTGTCAACAGCATATCCCACGCATGGGGTTACAGGCCGTACAACAGGTATGCGATACTCGCAATGCACACGGAAAAAACAATTCTGTTGATGCAACCGAATTTTTGGTTGCTCAGGGATTAGACGAATACTCAGCTGTAGGAACGGAAAAATTCCTTTATGAGGCTTCTGTATAGTCAATTGTTCTCAGTTGCTTCAACCGAGTTCTAATATCGCTGAATGTTCAGACGGTTGCGACAACAGAAATATTAGTTTTCAAAACAAATATATCGCTTCTGACATTTCATTTGTTTCCTATTCGCTTGCACCAACTGAGATTTTTTTTTGCGTGCATGCATAGAGCTGTAAGCCGCGTTTACATGTGACACCAGGATTGAGAAGTGATGCGTTACTTGAAAGAAATGTAATATAAATTCAAATAAAAAAAAAAATGAAAAAACAGTGAAGTTCTTGGCAATATAAAAATAATAAATGTAATGTACAATAAAATAACAAAGAAAAAATAAATGAGAAATAACGAAGGGAAGTAGATACAGGCAGAAATACTGTTATTACAATGAAATGTTAAATCCACAAATAAATATCACATCGCTATGTGATTCTTAATAATAATTCTCAATAATAATTACAACAATAATAATACACTGATGTAACTTTCGTTGTTAGACTTATGACTTCACTGTAACAACAGTGCTTGTTCTCACTTGCAAGTAAAAAGAAATTATATAACGATACGCTACTTTTTGCATAATGAATAAACGATAATAATCACGAGTTATATTTCAAAATGAGTAATCACAAGATTGATGAATAACGAGTTGCTTTTGTCAACGGCTAACGGTATTATAATAGGTCTGTTCTTTTTAGTTGAATTGTCTCAACTGATGCACATAAGTTAAAGAGAAACAAATATATTTTGTGTCACCTTAATGACCTCTAATGGTAAAAATTTATTTCTAAGAAAAGCATATAACTTTCACAATTCTATCATAAAACATTCGCACATCACTCTTTCAGGCATATAAGGCCGGCGGACAACAAATTGATCAGCGCGCTGACATTCGGGGAAGGACAACACAATTACCACCACGTCTTCCCTTGGGATTACAGATCGGGAGAGATAGATACCAGCGCGGTAAACTACACTACGCACTTCATCGATATGTTCGTGAAATTGGGACTGGCGTACGATCTCAAGTTCCCGTCTATGGATTTGATCAAGAAAGTCGCGATGAGCAGAGGCGACGGCAGCTACCCTCTAAATTACGAAGTCCCGTTATCGGAGAATATCTAGAATATGCAGGAAGCTAAATCTGGCGAATACGGAGGGTGATGGAGCGCTATGATTTTCTTGGCCAAAAAGTCGCATACAATTTTTTTATTTGGGCATATTATCATCCAGCAACGGTCAAGACTCTTGTTCTCAGTATTCTGCTGGAACTCGACGAATCCTGTTTCATAAACAACTGAGAACACCGATCGAAGAATTTCAGTAATTCTTTTTATGTATTCGTGAGTGAGACTTAATTTTAGCCGCTCCAGGCTCGTTTTTGATACTTTCCCTGTCATCACAAAATAGCCTAAACTACTTAAAAACATTAGTACGATTCATAGCTTTACTATCATAGACACTTTGGATCATTTTTCATTTTATTTTTTATTCGTTTCCGCGACAGTTTTGTCCAATTTAAAACAAAGTTTAATATTAAACTCGTTGCCCCATGACGTTTTTCCAACAAGCGCACAAAAGGTACTGTCAGATTGATCCCCAAAATTTATGACACAGATGTTCGCTCGATATAACATTTTTAGGTTTATTACTTGAAGGTTCAAGCTTCAAAATAAATATATTCATTCATAGATGGTGTTCCAAAAGAGAAGAATCTAGTTACTCACATTTACTTTTATGACATACTGTGTATAACTAGAATATTGAGTAGATCAGTGTGCAGGGGACGGGAAGCAGATATCTATACAAATACACATACATCTGAATTACAATCAGAAGTTATCGTTGCTCAACTGAAAAATATGATATATTGGCGATATTTTCAAGTATATAAACTGTTTTCCAGCAAGGACACGTTAAATTATATAAGGCCATTTTATTGATTACATATGATTCATAATTTTATTAGCTACTGCATTATTTAACATCTAAGATGATATAATTTATTATCCTGCATTGCACGTGTCATGTGATTTAACTTCTCATCTAGCATTAAATCACGCCATAAAAATAACACCAGTTCTATTATCGAAAATCAGCATACTGGCACGTATAACACATACAAAATTGCCGGTTTCGCAGCAAGCATGTTAGCTTATATCGTGGCTCGCATGCGATTTAACACGAAAAGCACACGATATGCTGTAGTCTTTATCTTACATTGCTAGTAATAATCTTGATTAGTTATTTACAATTTTTATGTTATACGGAGAAATGGGAATTTTACATATAAAGTGCCAAAATAGTTACCGACGATCCGTACTATGATAAAATTAAATTAATTGTAATCAAATATTATTATAGTATTATAAAGATAATAAATACAGTTGTAGTAAAATGTTAATCGCAATATAAGGAATAATTATTGTAAGCAACATTACTATAAGTTGTAATTAGTTACACTTAGAATGTTGATCTTAGGGGGCCAATAGAAGACTATTGAAATAGGATAAAAGATGCACGAATCTCTAATTATATTTATTTTTCGTATTTTTAACGATTCAATTGTCGACTAAACTTTTATGTATTCAATGGTGTTTCGGTTTCGGCCGATGTAATCTCGACTGACCGGATGTCGAAACCGTCTAAAGATAGACACGAAGCCAATTTTTTAGAAACGTAAACACTATTAATGAACATAGGTTGAATTGGCTTGAATTATATGATATTATTTATTATATATATAATAAATAAATAAATATAATATCAATAATATTACTTTGTTGTTTTAATTTACACACACACACATACGCACATATATAGGGTGTCCCAGACCACCCGGACCACCCAAACGCGATATTTTAGAAAAAAATGTTTCAAACAAAAGTTATATGGTTCGATGGAGGACATAAGAAAGTACCATTACTTTGACCTTAGGTGGTGCTCAACTTCACGAAAATGCAAGAAAATGCAGTACAAAAAAGTTAATTAGAAAATTCTGAAAAAATTATCAGAACTCTATAAAAAGATAATTTTTATCTCTTGCTATTTTTCGGTAAAGTTAATAGAATTCGAGTAAAAAAGTATTGAAACCAATAATTTTGTAGATATTTTCCGTAATTATCTTGGAAAATAGAGGTTCTATAAACAATTTTTTTAACAAAAGTTACTTGATTCTTTACGTAGAATAAAATTTTGTAATAAAAAATATATATTTCTATTTCTATTTAAAAAGCAAAGTTGACCTTGACCTGACCTTTGGCTGCATCACTCAAGGTCAAACTAATGGTACTTTCTTATGTCCTCCGTCGAACTATATAACTTTTGTTTGAAACATTTTTCTCTACAGTGTCGCGTTTACGAAAAATTGGGTAGTCCGAGCGGTCTGGGATACCCTGTATATATATAATTATTTCGGTGTTAAATAAGTTAATTTTTTTATGACTGAAGGTAACGTGTCGCAGACGTATCATACATTGATATCGCAGATTGAATTATACGCGACCGTAGTTATAAAGAAGAAATTAATAGCGTCATACTAGTATGAGGAGAAGAGAGAATTCCTTCCTTATCAAAAGTTGGAAAAATTAATATTTGATGATATATTGTTTCTTTTGATGGACAGCAAAAAAGAAAGACAAAATAGTACGAAAGTAGCTTATCGTTCTTCTTCGTTTTTCTTTTTAATGGGAGTTTCTTTTTATGAAAGTAAAGAGGAAAGATTAAAACGAAAAATGGAATGGAGTAGAAAAACCAATAATTTAACGATAATATTTAATCCAATGAAGATCTTGGGAAAATATCGACTGTACTCAGGCTACTTTACAAGAAAAGAATTGGAGAAGCGATTAAAAGAATACTGAAGAATACTGGCCGAGTGGATTTGTTAAGGTATAATATCTATGTGGATAGATTCATGAACAAGTAAACCCTTAATATAGAAACACTTGTTAATAAGTCAGCGCACACTTTGACTCTCTGCTTGCCAATTCAATGTTACATAATTTGACTATCAGTTTCGCGATGGTCACGCACGGACTTAACATTTTCACGGAAAAATTCCGCATCCAAGAAACTACTTAGGAATGTAAACATGGCATGAGTAATGTTGAAGTAATCAGAATCTTAACGAAAGCTTTTTGTGAGTGATATGAATATTTCATCATAGACCATGTGTTGCCACTATTACACAGCGACAACAATAGTTGCCGCTCGGACTCGGTAATATCTGTATTTTAGATATATAGATTAGTATTATAGATTATGTTTCATATATTCTGATTATGTATTCTGATCTATTAATAGCGCTTAATCAAATTTACATATAATATGATTATTATAACCAATTGAATTTCCAAACCAACTGATAGCATTCCTCACGAAGACAGATACAAAAGTCGCTTATTCGTCATATCCTTGCATTGTCTTGGCATTTAATCTTGTTTGGGCATTTAACCTCCTGAGATAAGCGTTTCAGACGAAACTACTCTTACGGAAAAAAACTATAAGAAAAAACTACAATATAGGAAAATTATTGAAGCACTAAAATGAAGCACTAGAAAATTATTGAAAAATATTGGAATATTACTGTATACTTATTACAACATTATTGGAAAATTATAGAAAAGATTCGTTAACTTTATAAGTAGTTTTAATATAAGTTTTCAATAGTTAAAGCAATAATATTTTCGTTAATCGACGAAAATACTACTATTCTTAGTAGTTTTTTTATAATATTTTTTCGTAAGGGTATAAATTAAATTATTTTCACAACACATCGAAACAAGTATAAGCGGAAGAAACCGTTTGCCTTCAAAATCCCATGCATTTAAATAGAAACTTTTACAATCCTACAGATATTTAATTTAAGATACAAATTTAATCCTACAAGTATCTAATCTAAGATATCGCTAAATCCAGCGCTAATATATCTTCCTTTTTTTATTTACGCCACTTTAGTTCTCGACCTACGTCACCTTTAAGACTTTCTTTCCACTCAAATATCTTTCCAATTAACGCATCTTCTAAACGTGCGATTTTACTCCACAATTTTAGTCAAGAGGAATTCTCAAAATTCTCCTCATATCATACGCCACTGGCTATAACTCCCATCTCATGCTCATCATCACCAACGAATCCAATAATTGTTTATCTCTGGAAACTCTTAGTTTTCGAATTCAGTTGTTTTACCAAAAATTCTAAAAGACCACTTCTATTTCATCTTCCGGACACTCAAAAACTAGTCTCTAGTCGCTTAAATTGTTCAGTCACTTAACTCCATCGTTCCATAATCAGTTCATTGTTTTTCGTAGTTCTCAATTACAAACTTATTGAATCAACTCCGTGCGCGAGACTTGCATCAAGTATCCACATCAAGTATAAAAAGAGGGAAACCAATATTCATCGCACCCGTTCCGCAGTAATAGTCGTCCATCTGATGGTCTTCACTTGTTTAATTTATTTACTTGGTAGCAACAATAAGAAAGTCATTATATATTTATAAAACACATAACTCGTCTAAGCCTGCATAAGCGAAATCATTCATGTTTTTTTATTTTTCATCTCGTCCACATCGTGGACATTTTATGCATATAACGAAAATAAATCGACATTATCGTATCGTCAGGATGTAATTTGCGAGAGATCAAAGTGAATAAGACAGTGGACAATGCGCTTTGTATATAAATGCTATCTAAGCAAACGCGTAACGAATTGATTGAATTTGCGATTCACGTGTCAGACTAGTTGTGCGATTGTTTAAAACCGGCTCCATACAATATGACAGATGTAGGTGAATTTTGTTACTTATATTGATCATGAATATTAAACGAATATTTAATCTACCTTGATGATAAATCCATACATATAAGATAGCTAATATATACCAACATTGACAAATAAACGTCAACATCAATCAGTGAATTGGTCACATCACGTATAAAAAAGGTGGATTTTGGCCCCAAAGATATAAATAAAAAGGTAGTGTATTTTTGTAGATCTTGACTTCCTGACAATATAATAAAGCTATTAAAAAGTTAATAGCTTTCGGAAATTTGGTTGTGATCACAGAACGAATTCCTGAAAGTTTTAGAAAACGGGAACAAATGAATGGAAGGTATTTTACGTGTGTGTTTAAGAGAAGAGAGGTGTAAACAGATGTGTATGCAATGTTACTTACATACATCTCCCTGCATATATACAGGATGGGAAAAAAAGGTTGGTACCCTTGAGTAACTCGGAAAATATAAGTTTTATAGAAAAATGTGTCAGACAAAAGTTGTAAGGTTTAAAAAGATACATTCAATGGTAATATTTATTTCACTTTGGGTGGCGTCACCAAGGTCAGGTCGAGGTCAACTTTGCTTTTTTAAATAGAATTTTATTTTATACAATTTTTTTATAGAATTTTTATTACGCAGTTTTATTCTACGTAAAGGAACGAACAACTTTTGTTTGAAAAACTTTTTTTACAACCTTTATTTTCTAAGATACTAAAATATCTACAAAATTATTGGTTTTAATAATTTTTTACTCAAATTCTATCAACTTTATCGAAAAATAGCAAGAGATAAAAATTGTTTATTTTCTCTTTACAAAGCTTTGAGAATTTTTTCAGAATTTTTAAATTAAATTTTTGGTATAGCATTTTCTTGAAGTACTAAAAAGTACTTTATAAAAAATCCTGAAAAAATTCTCAGAGCTCTATGAGAAGAAAATACAATTTTTATCTCTCGCTATTTTTCGATAAAGTTGATAAAATTCGAGTAAAAAACTATTGAAACCAATAATTTTGTAATTTTTAACATTATATATATAATTACTTTGCTATTAAATAGGTTAATTTTTTATGACTGAAAGTAACGTGTCGCAGACGTATCATACATAGGTATCTCAGATTGAGTTATACGCGACCGTGGTTATAAAGAAAATATTAATAGCATTGTACTAGTATGTCAAGATATAATAAGAAAAGAAAATTCCTTCCTTATCGAGAGTTGGAAAAATTAACATTTGATGATATATTGTTTTTTTTTATGGACGGCAAAAAAAAGGACAAAATAGTACGAAAATAGCTTACTATTTCTCTTTGTCTTTCTTTTCAATGGGAGTTTCTTTTTATAAAAGTAGGAAAGATTTTTATAAAAATAGAGGAAAGATTAAGACAAAAAATGGAATAAAGTAGATAAGCCAATAATTTCACGATAATATTTAATCTGACCTATTTGTTTGTATCTATGTAATGTATTAGTACTAATTTAATGGTCTTAGCCAAAGTAAAGAAGAAGAAAGAAGAGGAATTATATATAGTAAATTAAAAAAATAACAAAAGAACAGCGAGATATGATCTATGTAAAACGTTGGAAGTTGCGAATTTTATCTTAGAGGAATGATTAGATA